AAAAAAAAAAAAAAAAGAGAGCTGAAAACCTACGAAAACGACAGCCGAACAGCATCGTTTTAATCATTTTCAAATAATATCAGCAGTCAAATGCCAAAATTTTCATTATTATTTTCTAACTATCAGATGTTATTCCTAAACATTTCCATAAAGAAAAAAAAAATCTAATGAAGTTTCTGCGAACAGTCTATAAGTGCATAAAAAGTTTTCTTCTTTTCTATTTTACAGGCCCACAAAAATCATTCACCTGTGCTACTTGGAGTTCACTAAAATCGTTCACATAAAACAGAATAAAACACAAAAAGTTTTCAACATATTGATAAAGCTAAAGCTGTTTTTGTTTGATTCCTATTCCTTCCACTACTGGACAACTGATAGCAAGAAAACTGTGTAATATTTTTTTAACGCATACAAGCAAGCAAACATAATGAAAACGAGAAAAAAAAAGAGGTACCACCGGCCAAAGTACAGCCTTCGGTTTAACTGAATATGTTGCTAAACCTGCAAAAATACTCGTCAGCGCGGAAAAAAAGTGCCGTTATGAACTGCTTTTATCACTTCCGTTTATAACTTTTTAATCTTCGTTTACATAGCGACAAGAATTACGCAGTTAACATACCAATGAAACTCTTTACAACTAAAAATAAATCCCAAATTTGCTAGCACTTTTTTTCTTCAGTATTCAGATCTAAAAATGATCAGTTTCTTTCCGCTCCAATAACCGAGGATGAAATTAGTATTTTTCGGAAAATCACAATACATCTACACTGATAATAAAGTTGAAAAAGTACCATGTGAAAAAAGAATACAAAGAATGGCAGAAAAAAACCTAGCAACAGTGAATAAATGAAATTTGCAGCTGTTTCTTACTGCAAATTGTGTAAGGACAACCGACGACGAATGAAAATGCAGAAGAAAAAAATATTGAACACTACGTCGAAGAAAGAAAGGCAGAGAAAAAAAAAATGCAGAAGTTGTTTACAATTCTGAAAAATAAAGCGCTGCTATAGTTGTACATTCGGCTTGGTGAAGATCTTGAAGCGAATGCTCACAGTAATCCCTCCGAAACAGTTTTTAAGACCGACTCGTGAATAATCTGGAAATCTATTGAAATTCGGGCGATTTTGCAGAACAGAATATCCTCAGCCATAGAGCGAATTGTATAAAAATTAACTTTTAGCAGTGTTTTCTTCCACTTTTTTCTTCATTTTTTTCAACTT